ACTGGGTGATTTAGTAACGTTGTTTGGAAGTAACGAGTAGCGCATTTGGCTTCTTTTTTCGGTAACGCCTACAACACTGGTTCCAGCTCGTTCTCGGCTTTCATCGTGTGCCCTGGTTCGGAACATTCCTAAACGTCGCTGCTTCGAGGCAGTTGCCCTTCTGTCTCCGACGCAAGTTGCGTGGTCTTGTGGGTGTCTTGTTTGTAGGCAAAAGTTCGCCTCAAGAAGTGTCTATTTTGGGCTTCACACGCAACTCCTATTTTCATTCGTGACAATATTCCAAATGCGGCCCATAAACCACGTGACCCTAATCGAACAGTTGGTAACACTCCGAAATCAAGGCACACTACGCCTCCGGACACTGTTCCCAGATGGCGCCACGCTCCCACCTTTCCCTCGCCTCCTTTCGAGCCACGGTCGGAACCCCGGGGACCGCTGCCGGGGCCCGGACCGTAGTCGCCGGTCGCGACTCGGAGCCCTCCGGGTCCACGCCCGAGTCGCCTCGTAAGCGCAGTGCGGGCTAGCGTCGTGGCACCGAGCCCGTCGAGGGAACCCCGAAGTCGGCCCTCACCGGAGGCAGCTCCGAGGCCCTTCGACGTCGCGACGTTGGGGCGTCGTCGTCTCGACGCCCGGGGACGCGTCGGCCGGATCGCCCCTCGGCCATGTGGACGGCAGTGCGACGGCGGGCAACGGCGCCGGGCCCCGCGTCCCGGCGGACGGGCCCCGCCGAGGGACTCCCTTGGCCCCGGCACTGACCCTGGCCGGGGCGGCGGCGTCGGCGGCTGGGGACGGTGATGAGACCTCGCTCAGGGCCTACATGGAGGGCGTCGGAAGGCGGTGAGTGCCCCAGCCACGCGCACCGGTCCCAGCCGCGGCTCTCGCTCGCTGCGGGGAAGCACAGCGCAGGACGGGAGAGCCCCTCATCGTGCCATTATTAGGGATGCGCGAATGCTAATTCGAATAGAATACCACTGCGTCACTCACAGCCTTCGCAATACGAGGTTAAGCCGCAACAACCTATTACCCTGCTAATACATGCTACACTGTCTGAGGCGCATTTCTTTCTGTCACAATGGCCGTAAAAATGCAGTCTGCAGACGCGTTCGAACCATACATATATGTGAAGTTCGAAGATGCTTCAGGCGTGTCCACAGATGTCATCATGTCTTAAACGTGTTGAAGATGACACTGTGCTCTTCAATGGGAAGCGTTGCTCACACACCTTTATTTCTTAAAACCTGAAAAGCTTGCGTAGTGTAGCCGCCTCAGCATTCGGCACCAGAAAAGCGTTCGAGAAAGCAGTTCGAAAGCGGCACCTGCCAGAGTGTTGGCCAGCTGCCAAGTTGATATCACTTCTCGGTTCATCTCCGTTATGGCCTCTTTTCAAGGCCACGTTTTCGAGTCGCGGGTCAACGCGCCTCTCGCTCTAGCTGCGTCGCATGCAGCGTCGCGAATGCTTGCGTCCTACCTGGGCATGGTTGCGACGTCTTCTATAAAAGCCTTGCATGCTTTCGGAAGTCAGTGTTCATGAAGGGAATATACATTGATTAGCCGAAACATTATGACCAGTCTTGTGGGAATGATCGCGCCTAGCTGAAGCAGCTTAGCTGACGCGGACGGTTGATAACAGCTGCCAGGGATACAGGAACCATTTCGTCGACTATGTGTGCGTGTAGTGGGAAAGGCTGCTGATTTAAGCGACTTTGACAAAGGGCAGATTGTGATGTCAAGATCCCTGCTGACCATTTTCACCGATTCGTGGTTTGTCTTCCTCGCCGAAACTGGAATCTTCCAACAGGACAACGCTCTACGTCGTAAGTCCACAGTTGTGCGTGCTACAGTGGATTGAAGAGCATGATGACGCATTCCAGCTGATGTCCTGACCACCTATCTTGTCGGATATTATTCCTATTGAGCACACCTCAGACGCCATAGGGCGCCGGCTCAGAGCTCACAAACCACCTCCTAGTAACCTACCAGAATCGCGCGACCACTGCTTACAAATATGGTACAATCTTACTCAAGGCACTTACAAGAGCTATGTAATCCTCGCCAAAATGGGTTGCAAGAGTATTGCGTGCCAAAGGTGGAGAAGCAACACGGTATTAGGGGGGTGGTCATAGTGTTCTGACTGGTCAGTTTATATTTATTTTCATTTGGAGATACTTCAACCTACCGAAGGGATTCTATAAGGAGTATTCACTGGACGCCATATTTGTGGGTGCTGTTTAGAGCGCATGCTCAGAACGAGCTCTCATCAATAGGCTGATAAAACCGGCACCCTTGATATTGCGGAATGCACGTTGCAAAAGAACTGTGGAAGCTCGCTATCAGCACGCGCTCAGCATTTGCGCGCACAGCTATGGCCGCCAGTGAATACTCCCTATAGTCACGGAGAGTGAAAAGGGCAGGGCGTGTCTTTCGAACGCCCGGCCTCCATCACGCGCTCCCTGCCTTCCGCCGTGCTTTGGCTGCGCGTTCGAGGTGCACGAGACGTCGAAGCATTGTCGAAGGTTGGAAGCTCGCGCTGGAGCCGGGACAACTGACGCTCCTCCCTGCCGTTCTCAGCTTGTCACTGTTGTGAGAGAGGTGCCTCCGCGGACAATTACGGCATATTTAACAAAGAGCACTTGCGCGGGAAAGCCGAGAGAAAATCAGGAGCATGGCGACTTCGCCAACACAAGACAGCGAAGCGAAGCCCCTGAGTGCATATTGGAAAATATAAGCGGAAGCGTAAAAAATTGCCAACTCCCGAAGGGATTCACCGAGTTGAGCAAAGATAATCTAAACAGAGGCAAGCATTGGCGCCACGTGTTCACAAAAACAGTAAGAGGAGAGTTTGTATAAATCACACACTTGGAAGCCTACGATGGTCTTATTGCTGGGAAAATTGCTGCGTCTTCGCCTAAGTAAGCCAGTCAATTTTTTACGGCTTATTAAAAATGCACTGATTAGCCGAAACATAATGACTGAAAACATGATGACATTGTGAGAAAGAGCGCGCCTAGGAGACGTGCCATCCGCGTTATCTACCATCTTCTGATGCAGATTGTAGATAACTGCTGCCGGGGATACAGATAGATGAATATTTTAGACAAAACCCCGAGACTGGGGGAAAAAAAGGACAACAGAACACGAAGTCTCAATGAGACTTCTTGTTGTGTTGTCCTTCTTTCCCCCCAGTCTCGGGGTTTTGTCTAAAATGTTAAACCTTCACCAGCTTGTTTGTGCCATATTTTTTTGTAGATGAATATGTCGACTACGTGTGCGTGTAATGAGAAAGGCTGCTGATTTAAGCTACTTAGACAAAGGGCAGATCGTGATGTCAAGATCACTGCTGACCAGTTACATCTCTTCGTGGCTTGTCTCTCCTCCCTCCCTCCCTCCCTCCCTCCCTCCCCTCCCCCCCCCCCCCCCCCCCCACCGCCCCGGAACTGGAATCTTCTAACAGGGCAAGGGTCCATGTCAGATGGCCAAAATTGTGCTACCTTGAATTGAAGAGCATGATGACGAATTGCGGTTAATGTTTTGGACACTGAACTTTTCGGGTATCAGTCCTTTGGAGCACGTCTGGAATATGATGGAGCGCCAGTTCAGAGCTCACAAAACCACCACCTCGTAACGAACAATTGTGCGACCATCAGGTACAATCTTACTCAAGGCACTTAACAACTTGTAGAATCTATGCCCAGATGCATGTTGCAACTGTTTTGTGTTCAAAAGGTGGATCAACACGATATTTGGTGGGTGGTCATAATGTTTTTTTCTTATCAGTGTATACTGTCGCGGATGGAAAATGATCGACAAGCGTGTAACTGAAAATAAAGGTGTAATCAGCAAACTTATGCCAGGAAAAATAAAAAATGACCGCATCTCCACGTGGTGAAGGATGTTGATTGGGGCGAAGCTCTGGTGGTCCTGATGATACTGATTTTATTGTTCATAGGTAGTGCTGATGGTGCTGATTTTTTTTATTGCTCATAGGTAGTGCTGAGTTCCCGGTTGCGTTTCGACTTCATTATTACTGCTTCATGGTCGGTGAAATGCAGAGCCAGTGGTTCTTCTAGCGGATCAGCTTGGATCCGCTAGAAGCTGTGGGAACGCATCTCCACCGCTTAAGTCAACGGTCCATGTCAGAAAGAGATTTTGTGGTATGGAACGTGGTTATATATGCATTTGAGAATTTGACCGCAGCGTCCTCTCGTCTATAAACGTTGAGCCAATGCATGCAAAGTTTAACGCGATTATATACGGATTTGACCGCAGCGCTCTCCTGCATGGACGTTGAGCGGCTACATACAACGTTCCATCCATGACATCCCCAGCTCTTGAGTTACTACCACATCTCAGAGCCCCGTATACTCGTCCCGCAGTCGTGGCCGAGTGGTTAAGGCGATGGACTAGAAATTCATTGGGGTCTCTACACAGGTTCGAATGCTGTCGACTGCGTAAACATTTTCTCTTTTTATGTGAGCACGGACGCCGTCTGGACGGGCGGACGGACTGACGGATAAGGCTAGACCCTAAGGAGCTTCGGCCCTAAAAGAAAAAAGTACGAGCGTCGAAACCGCGGCAGCGAGCGTCGAGGTGTCGGCGAGACAGCAGGCTAGCCCGAGGTCTGTGAGTGACTTGGTAAGGCCACGCTGGGCTCCTTTTCTAAAAAAACTCGGTGTCCCTAACATTCGGCCTACAATGTTCGAGGGTCGAGCTAGGCCGAGACTGACTCGACAAGGCCATTTTGGCCTCCTCATATCTATTACTGTCGGGGTAAGAGTAAACACGAATCTTCTAGAAGTAGAGAGAAGCATTCCCTCTCGGCTATGCACATGGCAATATTATTTCTCTTCACCATTTTGCCTGAAAGTTCCTGTTCATTCTCGTCTGTCATCGTGTGTCCTTCCTGCGAGCCTTCCCAAACACAGCTCATGCATAAAAGCAGCGTAAGTGCCCTGCTTCAGGACAGTCGCTCTTTGTCGCCGTCGCAGAATGTAGGTGCTGTTTTGTTTATGGCGCAAGTTCGACTCGTTAAACGTTTACTGTCAGTTTTACATCCATCTGTTTTTTGTTGGTTTTTTCTTATTAGTAGCAGTATTCTACAATAAATGCACGTTATTATCGTCGAACTCTTCAAAAGCTGTACCAAGAAAAGCAAGAATGGCAACGTCGTCTACCTCCTATAAATCTTGACGTATACGACAACCTGGCCCTTTGGGAAGGCGTCTTTTTACAAGTGCAACAAGAAACCTGCTAAATACAGCTAGTGTGCAGGTGAGATAGTTTACCATGTTAATATATTAACCTGAGACTGGGGCACAAAAGAGACTATATTTTAACTTTCTTGCTCCTGTTTCGGGTTATGACAAGAAGCATGCACCAATCTATGGTCTGAGAGGCAGTTTTCAACAGAAACACGGGTGCAGGAAAGTTAGTATTACCCAGTCCAGGTTAGAGCTACACGAGCTAGTGACTCTTCTGAATTGTTCTACAATCGGGCTAAGATAAAAGACAAACATTATGTCCAGCAATATAGCTCAGAGCTTTGAGCGTTTGTGCGTTCATTCGTGATTCATTCAGTTGTTTTTTGGTAAGTTAAAATCACTGGCGAAAAGTTTTTTTTTGTTTTACAGTTATGTACGCTTATGCGGTGTGCTAAAAACCTTTTGTTGACCTCATGGTGGACGATATACTGTTATAATCAGTAAAACCGCAATCACACTGATCAATCACCCTACAATGTTGTTCAGTACAAACATGGTGACAAAATCATCTCCGGACACGCCTAAAGCAGGTTCGAAGGATGTTTGCTTTACACACATGTATGCTTCAGGCATATCTCA